TTTAATTCACAATTAATTAAACCACACAGACAGATTTACTTCTTCTTCTTCCTTGCACCTTCCAATTTTTTGTGGTGTTAGCTCTCCTTATTTTTCGGTGTCATAACGTTCTTTCTGAGATTTTCGGGTCAGGTAGGTCTTCTTTTTTCGTGAGCCTGTTCATACACACTAACAGATTACATTTTCAAAAATAGGTTGTGTGATATTGATATTGATTGTTAGGGTGTCGAACCCAAAGTGTACCTTATTACACCCTGAAACTTTGTTTCGCTGTCTGTCTGTAACATCTCTATGATAGCATGATAGTAAGACAGTTAAAATTTTAAATTTAAATAACAGATGTTATATTTCTGTTGCCGTTGCGGCTCCCATACAACAAACATGATTTTTACACAATTTTTCACATGATGGTATTGGTCACGTGTATTTTTCTGTTCCCTTCATACTTTTTCTCATGTGAAAGGTACGATTAGAGCACGCAGATGATGATGGTAAAGACGATGACGATGATGTTGAAATAACCTAGAGGAACCCCGGAATACCGCCGACTTGTGTATTACTTGTCTATGAAGGGAAAAGCCCACCTCTATCCCTCCTGTTTCGAAGACTGAGCGTCTGAGTGACATCTTGATGATATTGTTGGCTACACTACTAAGACCGGTGTTTCTTTATTGTTTTTTTGTAAAGAAATAGGTAAGCCATTTGCCGTGTGATGCCGGCTTTGAATAGCATCACCAATTCTACCCGTGGGTGTCGTAAAAAGCAACTAAGCGATAATCATCCAGGGAATGGGCAGCAGCGTTCCCTGTCAATGCAGCATCTTGCACTGCGCTCGCCAATCCGCCTGCCAAGCGTGTGGTGAGTATGGCAATAACCCCCGATAGGGGTGGCCTTAGAGTATATATTACCATGCTATAGAGTGCATTAGGCCTCGAGGCGTACTGTCAAACAAAGCGTAAGAAGTTGCTCTCTAGATACAGACGTCAAATGTATGAGAACATTGAGAACTAAGTATGAGAAGTTATAGAGGTTCAATAGTGCTGTCACTGGCGTTTTGCTACTGACAGACAGAGAGGTTGCGCCCAGATTACTGCGGACAACTTTTTAGGCGCACTCTATAGCTTGCTTATACAGGGTGTCCTGGTTATGGTGGTCAAAAGAAAAAATCTAGCCTAGACATCCTAAGCTACCATAATAGCAATCTGACTCTAGAGATTTTTATCCAATATGAATGTAAAAAAAAACACTGCATATACAACGTTTTACAAAACAACCAATAAATCTCCCATACAAAGTGAGTTCATTTTGTATGGGATGTCCTAATTTTTATTCATATATCGACCCATGTTCCATGGGGAAAGTTGTTGTTTTATGAGTACCTTGACCTCCTTTCAGCTTTATTGGTTGTTTTGTAACACCCAGTATTGTAAGAAGTGAATCAGTTCAAGAAACTAAACCACTTTCCCTAAAGAACATAGTTCAAAATATAAGGTGTAAACAAATTAACTACAAATAATATAAGGGATGAACCAGTCCATGAAACTGAACAACTTTCCCTAAGGAACATAGGTCGAAATATGGAAAATAAATTTGGACCTCCCATACAAAATATGTTGGCCGGCTGGGTCAGTTAATATGAGAGGGCCAGAACTTTATTTTTATTTTTCAACCTATGTTTTTTAGGAAAAGTTGTTCAATTTCATGGACTGGTTTACCCTTTAAAATATTTGTTTTCTATTGGACCCCCTAAAGGTACAAAATGTTCTCGCCAATAGCCGACCGAGTAATTTGGAGGGATGATAATTTTCTTTTAATTTTTCGACCCATGTTTCTTGGGGAAAGTTGTTCAGTTTCATGGACTGGTTCAGCCCTTGAAATAATTTCAGTTGATTTTTTTTTATCTTATGGTACTTACTTAACTTATTCCTCTAGCGCTATGCAATATCGATTTCCATGCAAACTTATTTCAAGAAAAAAGGCATCCCCCCCTTTTAGGGGTTGATTTTTTTTAGCCTATAACCTGGTCGGTAATTTTCCCGAAATTTTGGTATACTTTGCATGAAAATCGGTTCAGTCGTTTTTGCGTGATGCTTTCACATACAAACATCTAAACAGATAAACAGACAAACAGATAAACAGATAAACATCTAAACAGAAAAAAAAATCTAAAAATTGCTGAATCGTGTTCTGTTATCAATTTTAAGTATCACCAAACAGGTTTTTTTGGAAAATCTTCTATGTACAGACTTTCGACCCTCTACAACTTTATTATATGTATAGATACTACATTTATCTATATTTCGATAATAAATACAAATTTTTTAAGGCTTCATCTCGGAAAATATTGTGTCTTCAGTGTGGTCTACATAAACAGTTTTAGCACAAATCAGGAAAATGACGCGTGGGGAACCTATACAGGTGCCTCACTCAGTTTCGGCGATTACTGGCTTTAACTGAAAATAACTGAATTTTTAGGGGAACTCAAGGTAACTAAGAAGATGGTTGGCACGAACGTCATATTTCATGAATTAAAATTTGCTTAGAATCATATGACGTTTATGTAGATTTTGCAGCTTTGATATTCATAAACTTTGAGGTTTTTGACAGTAGCAACCAAGAAGATTAGTAGCAACCCTATCTATATATAACAAGTGCCAATCGCAAAAATCCTGAAGAGGGTCGGGTGAACCTTCTGTAAACTCTCTATTTTGTGGTTTTAGTATCTGAATGAATCGTGTGGACTGTTGTGCTGGTTTTATGTATAAACAAGATTTTATGGGATAAAAGTTATTTATTTTGACCAGATCACAAGAAGCGTCCTTTCTATGCTAATCGAGGAAACAGAAGACAAAAGTGACATAAATCATAGATTATTACAAGATCATAATCATAGATTTAGTAGTCTTGTTGGGAACTCCTTGCTCGCAACAGTATCGTTAGTGTTATAATCGCAAAAAGAAGTTACGGGCGGAACTCGACATCACAGTCTTGTGATTGTGACTCATTCAGTCGACTTCAGAAGTCTTTATTTCTTATTAGACTTATTCAGGCATCGTCGGTAACAACTAAACTGGGGTTCATCTAAGAGATTTTTTTTAAAATAGAAAGTTATATATAAGTTTCTATTAAATTCACTGCAAATATTTTAGGGGCAGATTAAATAAAATATAAGCATGTACAAGGCAAATTTTTCAAGAAATCTACACGCTAGTTTTCGAGAAAATTGCATTTAATTAAAAAAAAACGAAAAAAGTGCACCCTGTTTGTCCTAGAAACACACACTTTGATGAATTTAAATTGGTTGGTTGTTAGTGTGCGTGCCGTGTAAGTGAATCCTGCCTACGTGGCGGAACGTCAGTCGGGTCAGTCAAATGTTCACATAAGTAATTAATTAAAAAGTTTGTTTGAAAATGAAAAAAAAAAATATCTAGCGTGTAGATTTTTTAAAAATGCCCAAGATGTTTTTCTTATACATATTTACGCATGCCCTTAAAATATTTGCAGTGAATTTAATAGGACCTTATATAAAACACAACCTTCTTTTATTCGCAAACTCAGTCATCCGCGCGTCCCGAAGCATTCGCTATGCGGCGGGCAGGGTCAACACTCCCAAGTAAACTCGCTCCTTGCGGAAGAGCTAACTGAATTATGCCCGTCTGGTTGAGATGATGTTATATTACGACATTCTGCTTTGCTGGAGTCATACCTAGTTTAGGGTCTATGGAATTGCTATGGAACAAAAAAAAGCCATGCTACTCTGTTCCTTTCTTCCGCCTTTATGATGCACTAAAAATGTAAAAGATGATTGAAGATGATTTTCTGTGTGGTGCCGGCTTAGAATAGCATAACCCCATCCCATATCTTTCCCGTGGGATATAGCCTGCCCCGCAAGGGATATAGGCGTGATATACGTAAAAATTAGTACTGCTTAATCTTGTTTAATATAATAAATTACGATTTTAAATGTCCACGCCCATCAACACTTTTTTAGTTTAAGAGGTCGCAACGTACCAATACTAGTATTTTAATCATAAATGTTTTCTATATAGTCTCAAGCGGTCATGAAAAAATACAATCAATTAAAAAACTAATAATTGTCATGGCGGGTTTTAATACATAGGTACCTAGATAAGATACCTATAAATCCATGGATGCCTACATAATAATCTTTTTAAATCTTGTTTGCAACATTTCCTGAAATTTTCAACAAGTTGCTGAAAATGCCTTTTGTGTAACGATGAATCAGTTCACCTAACAAAGCAGTGAGTTAGTAGGACACGTCTTAAATGGAAAGTGATAATTTTTATACAAAGACGCCAATTTAGGTCGCACATTATTGACAAATCCTAAAATATACAAATGAGCAACTAAAATCAGTTTCTAGACCAAATCTAGACCAAAACTACTTATGATTATTATAATACTCTGTCCTATGTACGCAGTTGTAGTTGAGTAGTGTATGGTAATGAAGTGGCTATAACCTCTTCCAAAGCTGTGTACGTGATTGTTAGAATATAATTTTGGCAATCATATCCATATTTACTTATATTTACATACCTTGTTAGAGCATACTCACTAATGGGGCATCTATTAATAAAATGACTGTGTAAAATGAGTAGGTACCTACCTACATATTTTTGAGATGTGTGTTTTTTTCTTTGTTTATACGGGGTGTTAGGGACGGTGTAACGAAAACTTTGCAGGCGCGCTCAGACCATGAAACTGAACAACTTTTACTATGGAGCTAATGGTGGGAAACGAAAAAAAATTTCTGACGTCCCATACAAAGTCAGTCAGCTAATCGTGAATTTTGTATGGGAGGTCAGAAATTTTTTTTCGTTTCCCACCATTGGCTCCATAGTAAAAGTTGTTCAGTTTGATGGTCTGATCACGCTTGCAAAGTTTTCGGTACACCGTCCCTAACACCCTGTATTTAAACAACTTTGTTTATGATGCAACAGTCTGTGTCGATTAAATAGGTACATATTTATTAACTATTTGACTACCGTTGTGGTTAGTACGACTGCCTGCGACGCAGAAGGTTCCGGGTTCAATTCCCGGTGGGGTCACTCACAAAGTTGATATTTATAACTTTGTGAATTTGTTCCCTGTCTGGTTAGGACATTACAGGCTGAACCGATTGTCCGTAAAGCAAGATGGTTCCGTGCTACAGACGGACACGTTAAGCCGTCGGTCCCGGTTGCTGTCTATAATGGTGGTCGTTACACAACCATGTCAGAGGCCTGCTACTTGCAGTAGGCGGTGGAAAAACTCTGACCCTAGGGTTCATCGGGTCGTTGAACTTGGCGTGGACTTGGTGTCCCGCACGAAAAAGAAGAAGTAACTATTTTTAAATTAGAATGGCTAGAAAATATAAGAATAAATAAAAATAACTTAATATATGACCAACATTATTTATTTGAGACTAGATAACATTACGTAATACTTTTAGTTACGTTTGGTAAGTACAAAAATATCGCATGCATTTATGTTGTATTGGTAAACTGTAGGTACTCTATATTTTTGTTCATCATAAAAACTATAGTAACATCAGGGTAACATTTAAAAATATACATACATACATACAGAAACACACGTCACTCCTTTATTCCTTGCAAAGTAGCCAGAACATTGGGCTCTAAAACTAAAATAAAATAATAACATTAAACTACCATCAAATTGAGCAATTTTTGGTAACATTCTTAAAATCTCTCGAGGCACTTAACTTTTAACAATTTTATTCTAAATTCTTTTACAAATGCCTCCACAATAATATCACTTATTTTAATGAATAATTTTAGGTTTACCCTTTTACAAATAACTCGAAACAAGGAACTAATTTTCTTGTAAGTAAATGCACATATTTTGTCATCATTCTCACTTCTATCAAATTATTATGACGCTTTCTTTTCTTCTGTAAGAGGTAACGTTTCATCGTTATAATCTATTTTGCCTAAAAGCACCGGCTCCGCACCTTTTTTCTCATGGCCGTCTTGATCCATTGGCAATTCTCGCTTTTCTAGCTCTTCGGCGAGACGTACGAATAGCTCTCTGAAAAAAGAAACATCATCTTTATTATTATCAAAATCATTATAATTACCTACCTGTTTAAGTTTAAGATAAATAGATGAAGATCAGTGTTTTGTAATATTTAAACTTGACCAAACAGGTACCCAGCTCTTGGTCTAAATGTTCACAGTTTTGTGTTTTAAGGTGGCCTATAGGTTAATACAATTTACCTACCTAACCACTTGAAACAGTTAATCTATTACAGGCCTTTAAACACTGTCAAAGGCGTTCCCAGAACTTGGTCTAACTATCCTTATGACGTTGTCAGTCAGTTGTCACAAATAGGGAGACGTGGGATGCCTTTAGATAACATTGTTATTGCAGATGACATTGTTGATGAAAATACTAAATGTTACTTACTGGAACACGAATTCTTGCATGTTCTTAGCAAGATAGTAGAGGAACAGCCAATCACTTAACTACCAACCATTGACGACACTGATGACGTTGTCACTGTTTTTGATGAAGATACTGAATTTTACTTACTGGAACACGAATCCTTGCATGTTCTTGGCAAGATAGTAGAGGAACAGCCAGTCGCCAAACTGACAGCCGTTGACGACCCTGATGACGTTGTAGGGGTTGAACTTGTTGCCAGTGACTTGGCGGAACATCAGCTCGTTGAACCTCAGGGAACGCCGGTAGAGGAAGAACGAGAACATACGCCAGAGGACAGCTGTGGAAAGAGGTTAATTTATATTACATAATATATTGGATGATCGACGGTGGACCAAGAAGGCGGTAACGGCGGCCGAAAACAGCAAAGCTTCCAGTAGGCAGACCACCCGCCAGATGGACGGACGATCTAGTGGCCATTGCAGGAAAACAGTGGATGCGGGAGGCACAGGACCGGCGCAGATGGTGAGAAAAAGAAGAGGCCTATACTCAGCAGTAGATAGATGTGGGATATGATGATGATGATAATGTTACAGTAGAGAGAGAGAGAGAACATATGCTAACTGAACATGAACAGAAAATAACCATCATAAAGTCTTGACGAACGAAGTTTCCAAACTCTAATCTCGCGTAAGTAGGTAATAGGTAGGTATAAGACTTCTACAACATGGTGTATCAGCATAGCTTTTTGATAATACTATCGTCAAAAAATATGTGGACCATACTAGGTAAAGCCTTTAAAATACTAAAGATAAAACACAAGACAGAAAGAAGAATAGGAATAAAAAAAAAGACAGACATTTAATGCTTTGTAGACGACGATGTCCTACTTACCAACCAAAGAGACGATGAAGAGGAAGAGCATCCAGAACCACAGTATGGAGTAGATCTTCTCATGAATGATGTTTAGCGCCATCACGCAGAGAGCGTCGTGCTGCTGTATGGAACCGCTGGGACCGTATTTGTGGAAGGTACACTTTGTCACCTGGGAAAAAGAACCCATGTAGCCAGAATCCGGGTAAGACTTTTTCTATCTTGGTTTGACCCTGTAACTTAAGATTTCTGATCAGGTGAACGAAGGCACACTTGAGGAGATAATAATAACAAATTCTGCTATTTTTCATTAAAACCACGAATTTTGTAGAAATTGACCAAAATTAAATAAAGGAAATATATCTGAATTGCTTGAGGAAAGGCATCAAAGTAATCGCCAGCTAGATAGTTTTAGCAACGATGAGTAAATTCTGCCAATAGAGTGAGAAAACGCTGCCAACTTTCAATAAGTGTCCTATGTGTTTGTCGAAGTGGGAATAGTATAAGTTGAAGCTTGTCTTTTCTATAGTACTTTGAATAGTTTAAACCTACCTTAGGAAACACGTGCTCCAAAGGGTTAACCTCATTCCTGTCAGCGCCCAGCACCCAAGGGCCCAATGTGATAAACTGTCCGCTTAGGAAGATGTTGTTCAACCATATCTGCAGCATCACGTGGAGGAGGTTGGTCACTTCCATCGCTACCAGCCAGGTGGACCAGGTTCTCGAGATCCGGAGTCTAAGGACAGGATAAGGTAAAGATATTATTTTTCCGTGTACTTAATCTGGGTTGGAAAAAATTTGCCCTAGTTTACCTCGCGGGTGTGAGAGTTTCGGTTTTTCGACTGACCTTTGCCAACAAGATTTCCTATATTAAGCTCTTTTGTCTATTCCAACATGAATAAGACGACATTACAAGATTACTTTTTATGTTAGCGTACCTTCTTGCAGCATTTTGATTTTATGACTGGTAAGATTGCATTGCATAGTGTAGCGGTAGTTTGACCTAAGCAATAGAAAATTACCTCATAATGATGTCCTTCCTGATATCATTCAGTCTATTCTCCAAGGACTGCTTGGACGGCACCGTGGTACCATTGACCGTCATATCCTCGTCTTCTATTGCCAGGCTCGCGTACTGCAGACCCTCGACCAGCCGTCGTATCCGACCACCTTGGAAATTTTGAAAATGTCTTTTTATTTGCACCATGGTTCATTGGGGCTTTTATCAACTAGAAGAAGGGAAATGTTTTGACAAGACAAGAGATGATGATGATGATGTCTATCTTAGCCGACTACATAAGAGCGGGGGCTCAGCTGGTTTGCCCGCTCTCGTGTGCCCTCATGTGACTTACTTACTTACTTCGCTGACTCAACGACCCAAAGTGGATCTTGGCCTCCGACACTAGGTTTCGCCATTCTTCCCTGTACTGAGCTGCTTGTCGCCAATCGGCCATTTGAAGCGCTCCTAGGTCTTTTTTGACTTCGTCAATCCAGCGATACCAGGGACGCCCAACTGGACGTTGTCCATGTGGTTGACCCAGGTATGCTCTCTTGGCCGCACGATCCTCCCCCATTCTCTCGACATGTCCAAGCCAGCGAAGTCGGGCAGATTTAATTTCTCCGATGATGTTAGGTTCGGATATATCCGAACCTCATCATGTGACTGCATTTTTAATATCATTTTGCTGAGGAAAGTAAAAGTTTCCGTTCTGTTATGATTATGACTTGCAATTTGCCTACCTTAAAACTCTTACTCATCTACATAGTTGTAAATTTCCTGATCTCATCACATCAAAACATTTATTTAGATGACTTTGAAATAAGTCATCTAAATTCATATCCACTATTACCATGTTAGGTCAGACTCACACTATCATCTCTCAAAATACTGTCAGTCTCATTAGTGATAAGATAAGCATATCAAACAGTTGCAGCTTTATTAGAACAGGTGATGATAACACATTCTTCGAAGTGCATTCGCTCAGGTAGGTAACTGGAACGATTTAAATAAGGGCAGGCTACGAGAAATGAAGAATTAAGATATCTTTACAATATACCGGGAGTAACGGAAAGGGTATAACAAGCCGAAAGGAGGTCAAGGTATTCATGAAACTGAACAACTTTCCCCGTAGAACATGGGTAGAAATAAGAAAAAAAATTAGACCTCCCATAGTAAATCAATTAGCTGATCGGCGATTTTGTATGGGAGGCCCAAATTATTTTTGCATATTTCGACCCATGTTCCACGGGGAAAGTTGTTCAGTTTCATGAGTACATTGACCGCCTTTCGGCTTGTTATACCCTTTCTGTTACCCCCTGTATAGACTTATGAAGAATGTTCATTATTCAAGTATAGGTTATTTCGGAGGAGTGTGAATCTACTTGGAAATCAAAGTTATGAAATCTTGAAATCAAAATGCATCCCTCATCCAACATTTCATGCATCCAAGTATCCAAGAACTATGACAGTCGCCATCTGCGTCTGGGTCGCCCGCGACGACGCTTGTCGGTTCTTGGCAACCAGTTATGGTGGTAGTATGAGCCCATAACTCGTTTGGCATGCGGCAGACATGACCGTTTTAGATCAGGTTCTGTAAATGACCATCGCTTAGACAGGATTGGTACTCACCTTCCTTCTTTTTCCAAATGTAATGCGGCATATAGAAACATAATGCCTGTATGAACAAGACGAAGGGCACCCACTGGTAGTACGTGTGATAGTGCGTCTCATCAGTCTCCAAGAGGGGGCCAACTCCTGGATGTGGTAAGACGTGGGCTTCTAGCAGAGACT